ATTGAATATGGAAGCTCAAGATCCATAAGTTTAGACACCAGTCTATGTGGAAGGATTGTAAACAGTTACATCTTTTGCTTCAGTTAGTTACAAACAGGATTACAAAAGTGTGGATAAATCTGGAGGCATTCAGCCAAACATTAACTCCTGGTTTGTTCTTACTTGCTTACAGGAATCAGAAATGGAAGGTGCTGATATCAATACCATGTTACTGGTCCACTTTTTTGGAAAAGGAGGAAAAGATAAGCTTCAGTATTGTGAATTCCAAAGGTAGTGTTAAAAAACCTTTGAATTAGGCATATCATATTTAAAACGGTTAAACCTGGATAAAGGTTATGATTAACAGGCTTGAAGAGACAAAGACAGGGAATGTGGGTTTAGTACTCTTTTAAAACTTGCTCCAGGTTTGTCAGATGGCTAACCCCACGGTTCTGAAGGCAAAGGGGAAGCAAGGGTTTAATCATTTAAGCTCGCGAAGGGGGAACAAGTTTGACAGATGACTAAGCCCACATTCTGCCTTTCTGGTCTGCATTGAGACTTTTTGTAGATCAGCCGGGATGTCCACACTGGGGCACAAAACCACGACAATCAAACTGGAGTGCGTGATAAGGCTGTTTTTAATTAACATCAAGCATCATCCTGTTCTGTTCTTTGTTGCAAGGTGTAAAAGGTTACTTTGGAATCTTACCCTGATTTTTATAGCCTTTTTAAAAATATTTGTCATATCTTTTACTTCAGAAGGATCCCAAATAGCTTTCCATATTTGGGACGCTGTGGGAATTGTATTAGACGTTACGTCAATATAGTGTTCCCCTCTGGTATGCTTTAATAGAACTAATTTCCATAGTGCTATTCCCAGAAAATGCCTAGACTAAATTCTTCTTTTAGACATTTAATAAAAAGAGTTATGCTTAACTAATAATAGAGGCTCTGATTACCTTCATCTGTCTTTTATGTGGATTATTGCAATTCTGCATTTTATTCTATCTTTTTAATGTCATATGGTGCGCTGCTCTGTGCTTCAAGTGGAAAGCCAGACTTGTAATATGATTTGTTTTAAATTAAACATTTTTTACTTAACACTTAACTAAAATGACCATTAGTTGATACTGTATTGGGAATAAACTTTTAAAATGCTATTTAAAAAAAAAAAGATGGTTTAAATGCAGACAAAAAGCCATGTATTCTTGAAAATGGAAAATAAAACTTGAAGCTGTGCAGCTACTATCTTGAAAAATGCTAAAGAAAAAAATCCCACTTAGCAATATAATTAAACTCAATGTCAGTCCTTTTCTTTGCAGAATCTGCTTGAATCTTATTTCCCTCAGAACTACTTCATACACTAATGTTCATTATTAAGAATTTTCCTAAAGATCATCTACTGAAAAGTACAGCTTAAGATATATTTATATACAGCTTGAGATATATTATATCACTTTATATCAGTTGAAATATATCAGTTTTATAATATATATATATTACATTATACAGCTTTAGATATATTTATATCAGCTTAGGCAGGAGCACATGAAATACAGGCACCTGGATATACACTGGAGAATATAAGAATACTTTGGCATCCAAATTTCAGGTCACACAAGTGTTTGTGAATGAATGTTGTACGTATTCCATATTTCTATGGTGGTTAATTTTAAAATACCATACATGCATGCCTATCACGCTATTCCCTTTTGAAATACACAATATTATGCAGAGCATAGAAAAGGAGTAAGAAATACTAATCAAAATATACTAAAGACCTGAGAAAAGAAAACACAAGTTAAACTAATTTTCACCTACACCATTGACTGAATGTATCCATACCTTTATGTTCTTTCATGACCGTCCTTGTTTCATACACTGCTTCATACATTGTTGGTTGTGATTTCAACTTCTCTTTAAATTTTTTATTTCATTTACAGTTGTAAATCACCTATCATATTGACTCTGGGCAGTGTACAACAAAGCAAGTAACATAAAATGTTACAAAAATTAAGTAATATGATAGTAACAAAGTTGGCCACCCCTAGTCATCACTGTCAAATGCACACTTGAATAGTATTCACAGCCTTGAGAACTACAAGGAGCATCAGGGCCAAACACGTTTTGAGGTAAAGAGTATTCCACATAGAACTGGTAGTCAAATGGTTATCAGGACTGAGTTACCATTGCCTGATCATCCTGGTCCAGTAGGGCCATAATCAGTGTACCAGCCAGAACTGGGCAAGGACCTTTTCATCATGGCTGCTTAAGCAGGACATGTAAGTCCATAGGAGCATCCATAACTAATTCTTTCATGAGGAGCAAGGCTTTATCCAGAATAGCTACCAGGACACATGTTATAGAGAAACAGCAGCTCCATCTTGGCAGGATTTAATCTGAACTTGTTTCTCCCTCCCTAGCCTCCAAGTACCAGTTCAGCATTTCTGTAGCATCTTGATTTAGCCTGAAGTGGCAAGATACAGTTGAATATCATCCTCATGTTGATGACACCTCATCCCAAACTGATAGATGACCTCCCCCAACTGTTTCATATAAATATAGGATAACATAGGCAAGAACTCTGAGCTCTGCAGCACCTGACATTGGAAGAGCCAAGAATTCAAGTGCTCAGCCCCATAGCTACTGATTGGAACTACAGACTCAAGTAGGAGTGGAACCATCATAAAATAGTGCCCCAACCTTTGATGTGGTCCAATATAATACCATGATCAATTGTATTAACTGTCTCTGAGGGATCTACTAGGACCAAGAGGGGCACACTCTGTTCATCAGAGTCCCAGTGGAGATCATCCACTAAAGCAACCAGTGCTAATTCTGTCCCATTAGCAGGTATCAACAATGACTGGAAGGGGTCTAGATAATTCGTTTCCTCTAGGATCTCATCAACGCTATACAGTCACCATGCATATTGCATGTTTGTTGATTCGTTGAAAGCATGTGATAACGTGAATAGGCTTGAATTACACAATTCCATTTTACACAAAATGGAGTTGATGGTAGGTTGCTGAATGGGATAAGAATAGTATATGATGGAAATAAACCATGATTGAGAATGCAATATTTTGCAAATTGTACAATATTGTGCAGGGAGTAGGTCAAGGAAGTGATGCCTTCTTGGTTGTTTAATGTACTTATGGATAAATGTATAGAAGAATGCTTGTGTTGATATTAGACATGTTGGTTGGGGATATGAATGTGTGTATTTCAGTGTGCAGATGACACCATGTTATTGGCTGTGAACCAAAAAAAAGTAAAACAAAAGATATCATGGCTCTCCTCACTCAAGGCTCTCATATTTATCTTCTGTTTTCTTCTGCTTTTCTTTTGTGGTTGATTTCAGTTTTTTTATATTGATTTTTTAATATTGATTTTGATCTAATATTGTTTTAATGTTTTATTATTCATTGTTATACTCTGCCTAGAGTCTTTTGGGATTGGGATGGGATATAAGTACTATTAATTAATTATTTAAAATTATTTAAAATTTGTAGTGAGAGGAGAGAGTTTACAACATTACCACCTTTATTTGTGCCCTTGCCATTTGCAACTTCATTATTATTATTATTATATTTTTATCCTGCCTTTTATTTATTTATACACACACGCGTGCGCACACAGACATACACAGAGTACATATACACATATATATTGGTCAACTGAAGGTGGCAAACACCTAATACTCCTGACTCCTATTTTCTCCACAAAAACTCCATGGGGTGGGTTGGACTGAAAGAGAGTGACTGGCCCCAAATCACCCAACATTCCCTCATAACAGTAAAGACAAATTTTGACCAGTATGCTCCAAGTGAAACCCAAGCCCAGTTTTATCCCAGGTTGCAAGTGACAATTTCTTTTCTAGAAACTGCCTTATTAGTCAGCATACTGTTGTCCATATTCCACCAATATATGAGATATATTGGTAATGCTCACAGTTTAAATGTCATATATGCCAATTCACCAAGGCCCAATTCAATTGGTCTTGCCACAGAGCCTTGGAGAATTACACATTATTGCTTAATTTTGCATCTAAACTAGTATAAAAACTAACCATGGCTTTAAGCTAGTTTCCACTAGTGCTATGCATTTCTTTTTAAACTGAATAAAAAGTACTGGTCTCATTCATTTTATAATTAATGAACACAAATGGGATAATAGAAACAAGCATTTTAATTGCTTTGCATATCAGGTCCTCTTTGCCTTGCATATATTGTTGAGGACCCTGTGTGCAGATAATTAAGGCAAAAGAGAGAGCAATAAAATTGACATTTACAAGTAATTCTATTTAGTTTAGAGAATATTTCAACTGTGCACCTACTTAATTGCCTGCTTGGGTGCTTTGGCTGATCTAAACAGCTTTGGCAGATCTGAAATCTGACAAGTGCAATGACATATAGAGTTATTGACAGTGCATTATTCTGGATGTAAAACATCAAAGTGGAAGAATCAGAGGAAAATGACCACTAACTAATGAATGAACAACAAATGCAGTTCAGATGAATGAAAAAGGAAATCAATGAAATATTTTAAATCAGATGAAAAGTGAAATGAAACATGTCCCCTTAAACTGAATAACAACTGTATCTATCTCTGGTTTAAGCCAGATAATAATTACCCCGGATACAGTTTACATAGTTGAGGTACCACAGGAAAGTAGGCTTAACACGGACTAGGATATTTGGGCAAAATATTGTGCTTTGTGGGAGTGGTATTCAACTACTGTTCATTTCAGAGCAATCAGTATGGTAGTTAGATAGTTTTGCAAAAGCATTGTACTGGACACAAGGACAGGTGTATCTTTCCAAACAGCATTTGAGCGGCTTCATCCATTTGGCTCAATACCAGCCCTTTTCACTTTAAGATTCCTCCTATGTAGGTCCAATAGTATCTTTGGGCCATTGGAACCTCTGCAAAGTAGCTCCTTTCCCACATTATAGATGTAACTGTTGGATAGCCCAAGTCATTTAGATGGAATTCATAATAGAATTGCTTCTTTCCCAATCAACAGAATAGTGATGCTGGCGTAGGAAACAGCCATATTCACAACTCGTGTACAGTATGCATCCGGTCAATCCTGCATTCAGAAATGGATGTTAGTAGTTTCCACTTAGCATGATCAGTCCTCTTTTAAACATGCACAACACGTCTTCCATTCATCTCACAAAAGGAAACTGGGTGGTTTTCATCATGTCTGTTTCCTCATTCCTTTATTTTGTTACATTTTTGCTTAGTAGTAGCAAGCCTAAGGATCTGGAGCAATCAAAAACTTT